CCTGCCGCAGACACGGGGGTACTACTGCTCCGGGCCCACGCGGACCCCGTACCCTGCGGAGTCCACGGGCATGTACCGGCCCCCATCGCCCGCTCCCCCCTGGAGCTACGCCCCGCCGGACTGCCCCACCGAGGGGTCCTCTCTCCGAAGGCAGCAGGTTCCTGGCTACTCCCCACCGCAGGTAAGAGCCATTTCCAGCCCCGGCATCGGTGCTTGCCGATGGGCAAGCTCACCGGGGCAGAAGTTGTTGTTTTATGGGGCCACAGCGGCAGGAAAGCCCGCAGTGCCTCCTCCGATGCATCCGTGGCTAATAATGGCTGTTGTTCCTCGCGCAGCTTGCTCTGCCTGGTTTTATTCTGATAAAAACTGGTGGTCACCCCATTCTCCAGAGGCTCCAAGCTTTTGGGCTAGGAAAGCAGGAATCGGGCAGCAAGCCTGACGCTGCGGCTGTTCCCAGGGCTGTCTGGAGGGAGCAGTGCTCGGAGTGACTCTGGGGGTAACGTCTGTTCCCCCCTTTTCTTACAGACCCCGGGAATGCCCATCCCGCAGTATCCGTACGGAGACAATCCCGGAGTCACGCCGCAGGGGCCCCCGCTACAGCCCAGACCCCCGGAGGACACGTGGGCTCCCACCATCTATGGGGCGCAGTCGCGTTACACGTGGCCCGCTGCTCCGGCGCACGGGAACCCGTTTGTCTCCGAATCGCATCCACCGTGGACTGGCAGCGGAGCTCCTTCCCACCCTCCCGCGTGGGACTCAAAGGTACAGCTGATGCTTCTACAGCGCGTGCCTGCGCTGGGTCCCGGCTGCGGTCAGACCTCCTAAATTATACGGTTTTCCTCAAAGCCTGTCTCTGTCTCCTGGGAATGCCCCTTTCTCCGAGCACAGTCAGTTTAGGTAGAAACAAAGCAGCGGGTATCTGCCAGCAAAATCTCCTATTTGCATACTGAAGACCAAAATCTGGGGCTGTAATTCCAGAAAGGTACTGGAGATACCAGATATCCCAGGGCAGGTCTCAAACTGGGTCAGACGTCGTCTTGCTTGTCCAGATCTCTCTCAAACAGCAAATACTGTCAGAAATCCTCCAGCGCAGAGTGTGGGATGAACCTGTGGGTCAGTCTGCAGACTCCTGTATTCCTCTACAAGTGCTTGGCTTGGGCACGGTCATCCTCTACTGAGGAACGTTTTAAGCAAAAAATCTAAGGAAATGATGGACTTGGTGTGGTCCGTTCATCTCGGCTTCCCCTGGGTTTGGTCAGGAGTCAAATGACTCTCCAGAGGTTTGGTCCCCGGGCAGCAGCGCCGGCATGTGCAGCCGCAGCCCTGCTGGGGGATGCGTGGATTCGGGGACGGGGGCTGCGGTTACTTGGGAACAGCTCAAAAGCGCTACTGCAGAGAAGTGTCTTCTCCAGAATATCAAAATAGGACCGTGTTGAAATCCATTCAGCATCTCCCCTGTTCATGGGTAACGAGTGTTCAGAGGTTCACGCTGTTTCTAGACACGCGCCTCTTGCCAGGGGTCTGCTCTTTCACGGGCAGGGACTGGAGCGTGGGTCCTGTGTCCCTCTTTGGGACTTTTCACCGAAACCAGCCCACTTGGCAGGACACGGGGTGCCAGCCCGCGGGGGACGTGATGTGTTATGACATCACAGTGTGTGACAGTCTAGAAAATGCTGCCCAGATCCCCGGTAACATCACGCCTAACCCGGTCTGCCCTGTCCTCGCAGGCATGCACACCTCAAAGCAGTCACAGTGCCACCTGCCACCCAGTTCCCTCAGCGCTGCTTGCCTGCCTTTCTAGTGCAAGATTACAAATCTGGCTTTAAGGGAAATGCACTTAAAGATATTTTCTCCTTCCGACTGTAGGACACCGCTTACGACAAACCCGAGCAAAGCGCAAACCACCACAACTACTATCCCGATGTCAACCACCAGCACGCCAGGACAATGAATGACCACCAGCCAGCCACGCCGCTCAACGCCAAGCCGTCCCCCTCAAACCCCAGGGTGCAGTACAGCGCACAGCCCCAAATGTATGACAGTGCATCTCGGAAGCTTTTGGCTGGGCACCGGGAGGCCGGCTTTAAACCTGCTGACCAGCTGTCAGCGAATTCTGCAGCCATCCAGCCGGAGATTCAGAGAATCCTCCACGTTATGGGGGACGCTGAACAGCTGGAGCAAGAGGTGGATGAATTTGTAGGAAAAAAGACAGATAAATCCTACCGGCTTCTGGAGGAGATGTTGACCAAGCTGCTGTTGGAACTGGATTCCATCGAGACTGGTGGCCAGGACAGTGTTCGGCAGGCCAGGAAAGAGTCCGTCCACAGAATTCAGGCCATACTGGAAAAACTGGAAAGAAAGGGACTGTGAAAATACATAGGCCGCAACACGCAGTCTGTTGTTGAGGTTCCAAAGAGTTTTAGTTGCGTTAAATCTCAGCTCTTTCTGCTACGCAGTATTGACAATGGAATAGCAATAAGCCCCGAGTTAAAAAACCAAACCAACCCACCAAAACCCCCCACCCCGGAAGCCCAGCCCCAACAAGTAACTTGGCAATGGACAAATTAAGAGAGGTCTGAAGCAGCAAACTGAATTGTTTGTTTGTTCTGGGCTTTGGAAAAGCAGAACCACCCGAGGTGCTTACACTGTAGAGGTCTCCGTAAGGATCCGCATCCTCTGCATCAGCAGGTAGAAAATCACTGTACAAAGTTACCAAACTGGGCCCAGTCTGTAGGTGCCTCCTGCAGCCACAGCAGTTCTTTACACGTCCGGAACACTTGTCAGCTGTGGTGACAACAGTTCTGCAACGCGCAGCCACAAACCAAGACTCTGAGCTCGTCAGTCACTGCGTGTTTTCAGCTTCAGCTTCCTCACCATAAAAACTTGTGTGTCGTCGTGGGGTTTTCTTTGGTTTTAGTGCACTCAAGTAGCTACACTGAAGTGCTGCAGAAAGGGACCACGCTGGCAGCCCATCAACGCAAGCAGATGTCACGTCGTGCTGTTCCTCCTCTGTCGCGAAGAGCCACTCCTGGTGTCCCCCGTGGACGTGGGAACACAGCCTGGAAATCTCGATTCTGCCACTGAAAAGGAGAGGTACAAGCAGAGGAACGATGTCAGAGCAGAGCAACCCGAAACGGCAGGATGCTTGGAAATGCTTTCCAGGTCACTTGGGTAAAAATCCACTTTTTAATTGTAATGTCCTCCCACATACTGCAAGTTTTGTATTCCACTGCAACGCCCCACTCGTGGCACCGTACAATCCGGAGGGAAGGGAACGGCTCAGCCTACTGTCAGCCTCCTGGTTACAACATGTTAAGTGAATCATGACTGTGTGTGACGAGATAATAAACCCTGACAACTTTTAAATGTTATTTTGTAATTAAGACGTCTCAGAGTCTCTTTTCTTTAAAAAGAAGCTGTGGGCAAGGTTGTGTAACTTAGACCTGCCTATAACCAAAATCCCCGCCGGGCTGCCTTAGCGGCCGATGGTGAGGGATGGATGCAGCAAGTCACCTCTGAAAACCCTTGTTTGGGGGTGCCGGGGTACCCCATTGCCCCCCAGGCGGTGCAGGTGCCCAGGAGCCTTCAGCCGTGGCGTAGGGCCGGTGGCTGTGTTTTGGAAGGGGTCTGGAAGGGGTCTCCGTGTGCCCGAGGCTGGGAGCGCCTTGACCGTGTGCTCTGCGGGCTGACAGCCGGCGATGTCCTGAAGGCAGCCGGCAGATCCCAAATCCTTCCCAGACGGGGCTGTGTGCACAGGACTGACCTTTGCAGCTCGTTGGATGTGTCCGTGATCACGTGTGGTGGTCAGCCTGCAAAAACAGCCCCGGCCGAGGTGAGCCAGGAAAGAGCTGAATGTCCTGGGACGGGTAAATGCTTCGTTGCTATTTTATTTCGTCCTCTTGTCAGGCAGAGAGCAGCCGGGCCAAGCTGTCCGTCCTTGGGATACGGCATGAAATCTGAATTCTGAGGATCGGGGGCTGTACTGGGAGATAGAGCAGATCACGATAAACAGCGGTGCCCCGTCACTCCGCCCAGCCCCAGCGAATGCCGCCTTTCTTTCTCTGATAAAGGCAGCGGTGTCGGCAGCATCTCCAGGCGTTAATCTGTGCTTTGGGTTCGTTTCTTTTTGTGAAAATACTCGTAGTAGGGAAGATTTCCACACAACCAGCCTTGCTACCAGTGGCTTTTTAAACCCAAAGGAATGAAGAGCAGCACTGTGGCGTCTCTTCCCTCTTTGTTTTATCTAATGGTTGAAAGTCTTGTTAAACGCTGCCTCTAATGTCCTGAAATCTTTACCAAGAGTCTGCTGCAGGTTCACTGAATTAGCTTGACACGGTAATAACTTTATTTAGTTTTTTCGAAAGAGAATATAGGCGACGAAACCCATCAACCACTCTGAAGACATGCTCGGTGCGGGGGCAGAAAGCTGGCTCCCTGCGCTACAGGATTGCTAGCAGGATCAATGCCGGATTTATCGGGTCCTGCTCTTCTGACCCTTTAGCATGCCTGGCAAGGTTTGTCTGTAAAAGGCTGCGAAGGAGATGAAAAAGTAAAGGAGGACTGTAAGTACCCAAAGAGACCTAACTTGTCACTTTCTAGAAAAGCCAAGAAGTGAGAAATCCAGCCGGCGGAGCGGGAGGAGCCGCTGCGCACGCAGCACACGGCCTGAGCCACGCTTTGCAACAGGCAAAGGCTGCAGAGGCGGCGGTGCTCTGGTGGGGTGAAGGGAAGCCTGGAAGGAGAGTACTGGTGATGCAGGGGGGAGAACAGCCTCTGCTGCGTTTCTCCTTGGTGCTCAGGGCACGGCTGAGCTCTGAAACACCCCTACCTGGCTCAAAGGTCCTTTCTGCTGGAGGCGGATCCCCGTTTGACCCCCGTAACTCATATTTGGGAGTGGAGCCAGCCTTGATTAAAGTGCGACCACGCTACGCCACCGCTTCACTCTCCGGCCGTTTCAGGTTGGGCACCAAGTCCAGGCCGCAGGCTCACCACTTTTGTGCTCTCCAGGGAATTACCAAAGAGCTCATTTCTTCCTCTGTTACCACACTTGTTTTTCTATTTGGTTGGCATGGCTGCTGAAATAAAGGTCTGGATTCCCTTTGTGCAGGATCTAGCCAAAGTCTGGAATTTGTTGTTGCAAGAGGTGGTGTAAGTGGTGCAGGCAGCTCCCTTCACCCCCTCCCAACAGCAGGCTCTCCCCCCGCTTTGCTGAGTCAAAAAGCACCCCAAGAACGGGCAGAGCTGCAGCCCAGCTCTGACCCTGCACACCCCCGAGAGCTGCTCCGCGGCACAGCGCCCGTCGGCCCTGGGGCACATCTCCCTCCCTGCCCACGGGCTTCCCAGCTCTTTCTGCTACTGTCGCTTGAGTACGGTGGCAATAGACAAACGGGGCACTGATGCCGCAGCCCTGCTGCTTTTTTGAGGACGTGGTGCTGTAAGTGCTGCAGCAAGTCACTGCTTACAGGTACGTGAAAAGAAGCAGCCAGCTTCAGCGAGGCTGGAATCCACGGGGCTGGCTGAAACTTTATTTTCTGTATTTGTTTCAGCAGCAAGAATCGCATCAGGAACAAAACTGTATTGTTTATTGCATCCTGTTTGCTCCAACACTCATTTCCCTCCCCTGCCAGTTGCCAGGGAAAAGAGGTAAGTCGGTTCTAGCTGTGCAGGGAGGAGCGTGGAGCAATCCTGATACCTTGCAGGCTCGGTAGCACTGCAATGCAGTCAGCGAGGAGAGAAATAAAAACGGTGCACTCAGCTGCTGTATCACCAGTGCTCTGTGGACTGGGACAAAGGTTTCCCGCCACGGAGACGTGGTAAGAACGATACCTTTATCTGTTGATAGGAAAAACTGAAAGTATGTGCGAGGCATTTGAGCCAGACACGGCCTGGGAGGAAGGAGGGTTTCTTCTCTGGTGTTTTTTTTGGTGCTGAACCTATCAAGGTAACATATTCCTTTACAATATTTCCTCTTCCGGAGTTTAAGTCCCCGCACGTGGGAAGGACTTGGCAGAGGGTTATGTAAACCTCTACTGAAAAGCACATGAAAGAACATCAAAAAGTGGGCTGAAATGGCAGGTTATCATTTCAGTGGGGCCGGTTATTTGAACAGCCCTGTGAGAAGCAGTGGCTGCGGCTGATGTTTCTGCATCCCTGGGGCAGATGGTGGGTTCTGTGTGCTTCCCCCAAAGCGGAGCCGAGCTGAGAGCAGGGACCGGGACATACCTTCCACACCGCAGCCTGCAGAAAACTCCCGCTGACGTAACCGCATCCATCCCCGCTGTGTCCCTGCCGCCTCCCGTCTCCTTCAAAGCAGGACCAAAGTGGGTCACGGCTCGGACGGCGATCTGAAAGGAGAAAGCCGCTGCAGCGGAGGCGCGGGCAGGAGCTGTGTCAGCACCGAGCTGGCAGAGGCCCTGCGCAGGCCAACGCTGCATGGATGAGGTTTGCAGCCATTTGCTCTACAGATGCAAAACTGAGGATTTTAGCACTTCTGACCATTCAGTCTTCCTAGCCACTAACTGCCGTGGCAGAGGTGAGCACTGGGATGACGATTCCTGGCAACCAGTTTATCTTACAGCATCCACCCACATCACAAAACCCCAAATTAGAAAGCGTGTCTGTATTTATCAGGAGGCTCATCTCTACAGAAACCAAACTCCTATTCCAGGGTTGCCTATCGCCTCTGTGCGCAGCACCCACCATCACAAGAGGGTTTCTCAATCTCCACCGAGGCGAAAGGGGCACGGAAGGATTGAAAAACAAACACTAGATCAGCGTCTCATGGTTTCTGCTGCAGAACTCAAGTGTTTGTTCACGCCACACGTGGGAGGCAACTGGCACGACGGCATGTGCTTCCCGGCGATGCTGCGCCGACACCGCGCACCCCTGCCCACCCGCATCCGGCTTAGGGGCGTAATGACCAGCCTGGAGTCAAGACTTAAGCCGGAGAGTCCTAATTAGCGCTGGCATCGCCTGCCTGCGGTGGTGTTTGGGTGTGGATCCACCCGGGCCACTGCCAGCTGTGAGGGCTGCGCAACCCTCCCGAGAGCTGCGGCTGCGGGCAGGGATGCAGGCAGGGCCGTAGGCAGGGGTTGCAGGCAGGATTGCAGGCCGGGGATGTGGGCAAGGTTGTGGGCAGCAGATGCAGGCAGGGGCTGCAGGCAGGATTGCAGTGAGGGATACAGGCAGGGGCTGCAGGCAGGATTGCAGGCAGGGTTGCCAGCACGGCATACAGGCAGGGACCGCAGGCAGGACTGCAGGGAGGGATACAGGCAGGGAGGGATACAAGGCAGGGCATGCAGGCAGGGGATGCAGGCAGGATTGCAAACCCAATTGCAGGCCGAATTGCAGGCAGGGGATGTAGGCAGGGTTGCAGGCAGGATTGCAGGGAGGGGCTGCAGGCAGGGGATACAGGCAGGATTGCAGGCAGGGCTGCAGACAGGGGACACAGGCAGGATTGCAGGCAGGATTGCAGACAGGGCTGCAGACAGGGGATACAGGCAGGGGACACAGG